TTGTTCCTTTACCTATGTATTTGATACATGTACTACTTCTCATTTCCTCCTTTAAGTTAATATTTTCACCATCTGAACTCAACCCTAATCCTAAACAAAAATCTTTTTCATTCACATTCACAACTTTATCTACAATTAAAAAACCACTATTGGAATCGACCCATCTAACCAATAACTCAATCAAAATATTCCTACCTAGTTTAACATTACCACTCAAATCTAAAAACCACCCAAATGGAGTCTTCGAAATGAGTGACTAGTGCTCGTCTGTCAAACGTTCGTTCAAAGTACAAATATACTTTGTTGAAAAAGAGTGACAAACAGTCAAGTGCATCAACGAAAATAAAATAAGCAAAAGGGAAAATCTCAAAAATGAAAACAACACAAATTTAAACACAACAGGGAAATCTCAAAGCAAAACTGAAAACGCAATGAAGAAAATGGAAGGAGAACACATTTACCTTGCTCGAAGGACCATGGTCATTGGACCTTGCCATTTCGTAGAATACCCTCAACAAAGAAGACGACGTTGAGCAAAACGAAGAGATGGAATGAAAACGAAGACGGAGAACGAAAACGAAGAGCGAGAACGAAAACGAAAAGGGAGAACGAAAACGAGATCAATTTCGATGTCACATTTTAACAATAAAAGCAAATTAAAAACGGACCAATGGGCTGGTGACACCTGGCGTTGTCAAAATGGTGTTAAAAACTCGTTGTCAAAATAATGGGATCCATATATATAATTGTATTAAGATGTAACGTGAAAAAGTGGAAAGGGGGAGTTCAGGACGTGAGTTGATCGTGAAATAAGGGGGGCAAATTGGTAGGGGTGGTGACGTGGGGTTCACCTGCAAAAAAAAAGATAGTGATGATTATAGTATACATGATTAAAGAGATAAATGGTGAGAGTTAGGTGAACTCATTTGTATTTATGGAAATGGTTTAATTGGTATGATAATGATATTTATTGTGTTTTATCATTGAGTAAGTTTCGGTTAATATCTCTTTAATCCGGTTGAAATTTTTCCTCTTGCGAGAGGGTGGAAAAATGGATCTCTTCGCCTTTGAGAGGCGGTGGAAGAGATGGGTCTCTTATCCACGATGAGCTATGGAAGGGACTGTGTGTTAAGACTCCGACAAGTATACCGAATTGTATCAAGTAATATAAATTGTAAGACCAAGTATCGTTTTCCCAAGAAACACACTGGCCTAAACAATCATGTGATTTGTTGATTATTTAAGACTTGAGAACAAAAATTTAGGTTTTGCAATGCAGAAAATAAACATGAATGCAAATGTTTGATCAATTGACTAAAGAATGCATAGGTGAATGGTTGATAAAATATGAGATGACTATGTTGTTCGGGTTTCCAACTTATCATATCCACTCTCATGTATTTACGAATTCATCTTCTTCAATAATGTTAATGTCACTTTCTAATTTACTTTAAGCTCGATGTCTCGGTGAAGAAAGCCTACTCTTAATTACTAGTTCACAATGTCTTGTATCCCTAACAACTAATTATGCATTACATTCGCACAGAAGCTTAAAGGCAATCAACCCTCCTATTCCTATGTCTAGATAATATTGCTTTTCGGAGAATTTCCCTAGTTCTAGATTTCTCCATATGTGTCCATATCGACAAAATCAATAATCCACTAGTACAAAAACAACGTATAACGTCGAATATTTTTTGTCTTTCACGTCGAATTCGTGAACGACGTCATATCAGGAGACGTTAAATTGACGTCAAATTTTTTCAATATACGATGTTAATTTAACGTCGAATTTTATCAATATACGACGTTAATCAATTTTTTTATTATTTTAAAGAAAATTATTTATTTCATCCATTATTTATTAAAGACATTGTGAGTGACAAAAATAGAAACAAACTTGAGGGTTTTTTTAATGAAACAAAACATCCAGTTACATTTAAATAAATTAATTGACACATTAATTTTAAAAATGGAAAAAGTGAATTTTTAAATTTAAGAAAATAAAAATAAGAACAACCGATGATAAAATTAGTCTTTCTATAAATAGAAATTACTTTATGATGAACAATTTATAAGAATTATTTTCTATTAACTTCTTTATCATTATATTTCCCAACTAACCTATAGAAGTATTATACTATTTTTCTTTTATTTTTATATGATAAAGTGTTGTAAAAGAATGCTCCCCAAATATATCCATAAAAGAAATAATTGAACTAGGTGTGTTACAAAGATAAAAACAATAATAGTTTTAGTACAAAACAATTTGCTTTAGTACTTAATAGTAAATGATATTAGTTTCATAATAATTACTCTAAAATCATGTTACTGACTGTGTAACTTTTTAGTATTTTATTAGTTTCATAATAATTACTCTAAAATCATGTTACTTGACTTGACTGTGTAACTTTTATACCGGTCTACCAAAATCTTTGAGCAAATTAGCATATTAAATCTATAATAGGTAAATTAATAACAATTTAATTTTTTAAGATAAATTTATATTTAATTATTAAATTAATAAAGAAGAAATAGTTACATTCTATTGTATAGTTTACTAATAAATTAATATTTAAATGTAGCTTTAATTAAAAAAAAACTCTGAAAGTGTAATTTAATATCAAATTAATCTATAAGCATTAAAACTTTGCAGTATGTAATACATGCTAAATTACACACTCATAAACTAAATAATAATTTTAATTTCAAATTAAATTACGACTGAATTACACTATCAACTTAGAATGATCGTTTGTCATAAGTTCTAACTGTAATCAAACAAGAAAATGTTACACCTTTTAAAATAATGTGAGTGTGCTGTGCTGACTACATGTACTTTTAGATTATGAAATTGCAATGCAATTATTTAATCATTTCCGGGGTAAAATATCACAGTGAAAACGATTAGCTTCAACCATGGGTCAAATTATAATTATAAAAATCGCAAGAACTAAATTATAAAAAAGACAAAAAGGAATTCTGAAAGTTAAGATCTACAAGTGGTGGGACCCACTTGCATTCAATATATACTCACTGAAGTCACAGCTCGCCGCCAACCCTCTGCTTTTGTTCTGTTTCCCTGTTTCCACGTAACTGAACTGAGTCATGGCGATTTCGCTCAAAGGAGAATTTCTCCGCCGCAGCTCCGTCGCTGGGACAAGGTTCATGTCAACTTCGTGGTTTCGGAGTATCGAGCCCGCTCCCAAGGATCCAATCCTCGGAGTAACTGAAGCTTTCCTCGCCGATCAGAGTCCAAACAAAGTCAACGTCGGAGTGGTGAGTTCTGTCTCCGTTTGCGACTAATATTCTCGCATTTTTTTTTCTTTTTGAGAAATTGAAGAGAAATTACGTCTGTTGAAGGTGAAATTGATTTGAACAAATCGGATCTGATCACCTAAACGGCATAGAACTGTTATATTCATCACAGAAAGTGGAAAATGTTTATTCTTCTCTCCTTTTTATTGTATTGTTTGTTTCTTTCATTGGGTTCGGAGCATTGATTCACGCAATTTGTAGGCAGTGTAAAGAAATTTTCAATGGATTATTTTAAAATATATTTAGTGCATGTTTAGTTGAAGTGTTTCTGATATTGATGGATTCTTATTGAGTGTAATTTATTTATTTATTTTTTATTTACAAAAGGGTGCGTATCGCGACGACGACGGAAAGGCTGTGGTTTTGGAGTGCGTTAGAGAAGCAGAGAGGAGAATTGCAGGAAACCAATTCATGTGAGTAAAATAATAATAATAATA